CCAGAAAATATTATTTTAATAATAATTTATTTAAGTAATCATTATTATTATAAAAAAAGAAATATAAAATCTCCTCCCTCCCATCGTTCTTCTTCCTCTCTTGCACCACTCCGCTGCCACCGTAATTGCTCCAGTTGCCCATAATGGAAAGAAGTCCCTACAACAACGACGCACCCCAAGAAGAGACGTGGAAGAGCCGCCGCATTCCGCCCCGGCCACATTCTTCCTTGCCCGGGGAACAACCGTAATTGCATCCCCCGATGCGCCATCTCTGCTGCTAACCCTAATCGAGAAATTGATGATTCCATTCTTAGGACACTCAATCAATTAAGTCAATAAAAACCTGATCAGTCGCTATGGGCTCTCAAGATGTCCAAGCCTCACCTCATCAATCATTCCAGCATCAATTCCGTCAATCAAAACCTAAGCGAACTACATGAGGGAAGAAGCATCCGCTTGACCGCCTGTGCAGAAGCACCACTCGAGGGAAGAAGCAGCTGGCGGGTGGGAAGAGGAGCTCGACGACAACCTTCTCTTTCTAGAGAGGGTTGCTTTTGCCACCGCAGTCCGCCTTAATCGACCCAAAATTAACTTCTTCTACCTTAGGTAGAGAGGAAGGGTAGCACCGCTTCCGACGACGACGAACGCTTCCCCCTTGGGTAGAGAGGAAGGGGAGAAGAAGAAGAGAATATGGGGGTGGCTTGTCTGATTTTTGTTTTTCTTTATTTCTTTTTTTAATAATTTATTAATATATAAGTTATCAAGGTTGACCGGTTGATGTGACATTTTTTGTTGACTTCCACATAACAATATCTCTTCCACGTTACCATAACATCTGCCAACTCACCATCATCTAACGGAAGTGTTAACGGAGACTTAACGGTTGGCGATTATTTTGTATTTCGATAGTTGTGCCTATAATTCCCCGTTGCTTAATAGTTTTGGCTAATATATTGTATTTACCCTTAAATCTATTTCTAAACTTTAAGCCGAAGAATGCTTTAGATTAGGGAGACCATGAGATAAAACATGGCGATATATCTTAATTTTCTCATAAGTATGGCAATATACGACATAAATATTTTTTGGATACGAACAAATACCAATAATTGGAACACGGGTTGGGTCGGGTTCTATGGGTTGTGTAATCCAAAATCCAAACCCAACCCAAAAGATGCGGGTTGTACAAAAGAAAACCCACACCCAACCCAAAACCTTAGTTTTAGCGATAAATACAGTTGGTTTGCTCGGGTTGGACGGGTGGGTCGGTTTGCAGGTGTGTTTGTTCACCCCTAGGGATGAGCCATGGATTTTGCTTTATATAATTATTATGTGGGTGGATGAGAGTGAATACTTTTTTTATTATTGTTCTTTGATGATGACTTTTCTTTTCTTTTAGAAAAAGAGACCATGTCGTTTACGAACAAGGAAGTTATAAGTAGGGTTAATACATTATTCTAGTTCGAACTATGACCATATAATCAATTTTGGCCCGTGGTTTGAGAAATTAACATCCTGGTCCGAATTATGCAACATATAGACTCAAGTGGCCGGAAGAGTTGTTTGACCGTCTGTTAGGACGGTCAACTGTCCAGATCACTGCCATGTCAGCACCAAACAAATAAAATTCAATTTTTTATCATTTCCTTTATTAAATTAAAAAATAACGAGAAAAACCAAAATTATTTTTGGCCACCCATCACCACCTTATCTCTTAGCCTCTTTCTGATTCGAGCAAAACCAAAAAAAATCCTAACCATTCTTCTTCTCCCTTCTTCCTCGACGAGTTGCTGCCACCATCGTCACCACTTGTAGAGGAGAGGTGATGGGGCAGAAGTGTAATGCTTCAATTCCTATCTCGTAGTAATCCGGAAAGTCCGGGCGGGTATTGTCTCTCAGGGACTGGTACAACCTTATATTATATCAATTCAATGAAGCAAACTATAGGTGAAAATAGTTAAATGTGACTAATTTCTAAAATCAATAGAAACTAAACAAATTAAGCAAATGAAAACTGTCGGGAGAAATTAAATGGAGAAAGCTCTAGGAGAAACACCGGGAATCACTATCTATCATATCCAAATTAATTCACATATTCTAATAAGTTTAATCCAATTCTTTATAGTCAGGATATCACTAATGTGCTAGCTATCCCTGTCGGGAATTACTACATACGAAACAATTAAATCAAATCCTACTGTCGTAGGTCAATGAGTTAATTATTTAGACCGAAGACCGATATCCCAATCAAGACCGCATAGTATCTTATTTAATTCACTGTCGCTTCGATAAGTTACTATATCACATGAAATATGTTCAGTTATTAGGGTTTCATTGTCTCTAATAACCTAATTAACTACAAATAATTGTATTGGTGGTCAGTCAACACAAAGCATTAAGCAATTCCATGCAATAGAGATTGGAAAAAAAGAGATATGAATCAATCCATCAAGTATAGAAATAGCTACATCCTATGTTGTTTCCCCCAGAAATTGGGGTTTAGTTCATAACGAAAACAAAGTACACAATCATGTTCGTGTTCATCATAAAACTAATGACGAAGAGGGGCCAGCTTCTGATTTTCTCTCCCTGATCGGCTCTACTACTGATCCGCTTCAATAGCTGCTCGCGCTATTCTCCTCTCGCCGTTGCTCCAAGAAATCTCAAAGCTTGTGTTTCGCCAAACGAATTCTCCTCCAAAGTCTTGCAGCCTTCTCCAAATATATATGTGGTCCATGCTCCCCCAGAATCAAGGCCTGGTCCAAGTAATTAAAAGAATGCCATCCTCCCAGACACAGCCGTTTTATGTTCCATTAAATTCCTCCAAAGCTTGCGGCCTTGCGCCATTCCTCAAGTTCGGCCACTAAAGGCCAAAGAAGATGGGCCAAATAAATACCCCCTGCCAATTTTTCGTGTCTCAGTAGAATGCCCACTACAAGACAACCGAGTTGGTCCTTAAAATTGTCAGGAAATGTCCAAATACTTCTCCCACAAAACTTGCGGTCCAAATAATTCTTTCTTTAACTTTGCCGCTCCGAAAGCTTGTTTTGCTGGCTAGCCTTTTAAGTCCAATTATTACTCGCCATCTGCTGCTTAGCAATGCTGCCATTTTCTTTTATATTTCTTCACTAAAACACAACAAAACATGGCAATAGTTGGTTATCATTTTATAGCCGTTCCAAGGTTAGTTGATCTTAAACAAATATTATATATCTCAAACATATCATAAAATAATTGTATTCGATACACAAAATTAAAATTAATATGTTTTCGATAATTATTAAGAGGAACGTGCGTCGATTTTCCGACGTTAACTTTTTCCTTATGAAATGTACTAGATCCGAGATTCAGGATATGACCGGTCGTTAATTGGCCCCCTTTGGACTTAGTGAGTGAATAGATTGCTGAAGAAGACGAGTGGGCACGTTGAGAAACAATACCATTCAATCAATTAGTTAGTATGTCAGTCAATCAAAATCCTTGGATCCTTTCATCTCTCTGACATGCCTCCTATGAAGATCCAGCCAATCGATGCTGATTCTCACATACAACAGATGGCTACGGCCATAGCTGAGCGGCTGAGCCGACGAAGCCGGTGGTGAAAATGGTGTAGATTTACATGGAAGAGACGAACGAGAAGACTCTCTGTAGTCGCAATCGCTGCAACTACTTCAACGGCAACATTAGTGACAGCCCCGACGATGAATTTGATGGGTTCGATGGCGGCTTTAGCGAGTCGATCATCAGCTGTCGACCGAATTATGACGCCTCCGCTTCTCGTCTTATCGAGCCTGGTTGGAGCTTTGAATGCTAATAATGGTGTGGTGTTTGGCTCTTGGCAGAGTCTAATTCCGTGCGCGAGCAGAGTCCAGAGAAATCTCCTCGCCGGCGCGGTGATTGTCGGGGAAGAGGGGAGAAGAAGAATGGTTAGGGTTTTCTTTGGTTTTGGTCGAATAAGAAAGAAGTAGTGGGATAAGATGGCGATGGGTGGAAAAAATCCAAAACTACCACTGTTAAAATTTTTTTTTTACAAAAATACCACCCACTCCAAATAATTTCCAAAAATACTATCGTTTATTTAAAACCGCGCCTCTAATGGGTGGTTTTAATTGAAACCGCGCCTCCTAGCAGCGGTTATAGCACAAAACGGGCCTCCAACGCGCGGTTTGACCATGCATGGCTGTCAAAACACGTGTCCACGTGGCGGTGCATCAAACCGCTTGTTGGGTGGAGCGATCTGACGGCCAAACCGCGCGCCAGCTCAGCGATCCGCGTCGCTCAGTCAAAACGCTCCCCCGAAGCGCGGTTTGACTGTTGGGGAACGCAAACCGCGTGCTGGATGCGCGGTTTTAGGCGGGGTAAAAGGACGAAACCGCCCCTCCCTCACACGGTTTCGTCCCTATATAAACCCCCCTCCCCCCTCCCATTTTCTGCACACCAAACCCATTCCCCCCTCTCTCCCTCTAACTTCTCACTCTACCCACCCCCCTCCCCACCCAAAAACCGTAGAATTAGTTATTTTGTTGGTTGCGGATAAGTCTGATCTGCCTCCAAAAAACTTTTTCTTTGGTTTTCACTAAAAAACCGTCGAACCTCTGTCCGGATTCCGAAAAAAGGCCGATTTCGCCCAAGAAGAGGGCCTTTTTTATGATGATTATCAAACGGTACGTACTCATTTTTCCCAATTGTTGTTGTTATAATGATTTATTTAATTTATATACTAATTGATTTATGTTATTTTTATGCTATCGTAGGTTGGGCCGGATGTTGATATTTTCAATCAACGATATTATGTTGATCAAGGACCGATTGATCCGACAGTTTTATACGATCAAGCAAATCATCGTTCAAGAGACGTTTGGAACGACCACAAGGTACATATTATTTATCATCACTTTTAATTTGTATTTTGTTAAAGTAATTTGTTTGTTTGTACAATAATTTACTTAATTGTTAATTGTATTTATTATTTTCAATAATTTAAATCAATACAATACAACACTTATTTAGACTCTTTATAAAGAAATGCATGTCTAAGGAAATGGGGACTTAAGCGATCATCATGATCCTCCCATGACCTGGGAAAATCGGGTTCTAAGCGATCCTCGGATCCCCCCTTTTTTCTGTCAAAAAGACTGTGTTTCTAAGGAGATGAATACCTCTCCTAAGAGTCTTACGAGTGTACTTGTATTGCTTTAAATTATTGAAAATAATCAATACGATTAACAAAATAAATTATATGACCCAATGGCCGACTCTCTTGCTCTTGATGGCCCGGACCCTAGTTTTGCATCCCTCATCTTCATTTTTGCATCGAACCATCAGCCTCTTTGTGTCGGAATGAGTTGTTTGCCATTCAAAACTCCGAGTCATTGCTTCAGTGGAAATAGCGTGTCGGACCTCATTCTTTGTTGCAAATTGTTGGCCCTTCGTAAAGCCAGTTAGTGGACCCCATACTGGCACATCTGGCGAGTCCATGTCGGCATCAACATACCAATCTTCATTTTGAATGTGATTGTAGTATGGAATAGGTACACGGTCGTGAGGTACCTCATCACCATCTGCGTCTGAATCTAGACCGGAATCATCAGCACCTTCCAGCGGATCGAAGCTGTCTGCACTAACTTCGCCTTCCTCTTCTTCAACCTCAGGGTCACTAACTGGACTTGGATTGATCTCTTCTTCCATCTGATTATCATCATGAAAGGCACCTTCACCTTCACCAGCTCCGTAATGGTAGTTGTGGTAACTAACACTACTTTGATAGAAGTTGTACTCAGGTGGGTACTGGTAGCCTGCTTGTTGGTTGTGATCCGCCTGTTGAGCTTCTTCTTCATATGAAGGGAAGGATTGATGACTTCCTTCAGTTCCATGATGATACTCCTGCCTCCAGCTCAAGTCTTGGAAATCCTGGTGGGGATGATCTTCGTATAATACACTCCCACCGTGGATACCAGATGTTTGGCCATCTCCAGAATGACCTACATTGCCTTCAACGGCCTCGGTGTAAACGAACATCTCCTCTTGCTTAATTTTATTGTGGTCGAAAATTGGACCATGGCATCAACGTCCTCCTGAGTGGTAAGGAGGAATTCCTCATTCCACAGTGACCCGTCATGTCTGTTTGGATATCGATACACCATTTGATCAACTCTTCTAGTGCCATCCATGTAGGTAATCTGAGTGCACATTTGATGGAGCTCTTCAAGCATCGGTCTCGTACAGACCTTCATTTTATAAAAATTGCCACCGACGTAACTTACACCCTTTTCGGTCTCTTCCTGTAACCATTCCACCGCAACCCAAGCGTGAACCTTTGGAATGCCATCTGCAATGAAAAGTAATACAAGTTACTAACATAACATCACAAAGGACAATGAAAAGTAATTAAGTTACTAACATAAAATCACAAAGGACAATGAAAAGTAATTAAGTTACTAACATAAAATCACAAAGGACAATGGAAAGTAATTACGAACCAAACTTACGAATTAACGTTAATCGCAAAAACTAAATAATTTAAAGGTGCAAAGCTGGAATCTGAAGAAGGAAGAGGAGGAGTGTGAAGAATTGAGTTCTCTGAAACAACCTTTTATAGGCAAATTTTGCAGCAAAACCGTTGGGGGGGGAGCAGTTTTAGGTCTGCCATGCAGCCCTACCCCCTGCATGCCGACATGTTTGTTGTCGGGTGACCAGGCACAAACCGCGCCTTGGGGCAGCGGTGTATGTCCTGACATGGTAAACCGCCGCCTGGTGGGGCGGTATATCATGCCGACATTTAAACGCTCCCTCTTCAAGCATTTTGTGGTAGGGTTAGCCTATAACCGCGCCTTCCAGAAGCGGTTTTTGCTGGAAATTAAAAACGCCTCTTCCAGAAGCGGTTATATTCTAAACCGCTGCCAGGAGGCGCGGTTTCATTAAAAACCGATCATTAGAGGCGCGGTTTTATATAAACGATGGTATTTTTGGAAATTATTGAGAATGAGTGGTATTTTTGTAATTTTTTTAAAACAGTGGTAGTTTTGGATTTTTTCCGCGATGGGTGGCTGAAAATATTTTTTTTAATTAGATAGAGGAAAGAATAAAAGCAATTTGAAATTCGATTTTTTTTTGGTTTGGTGCCGACATGGTAGTAATCTCGACAATTGACAAACGGTCAACGGTTTTTATCGTCCAAACAGACGGTCAAACCACTCTTCCGGCCACTTGAGTCAATATGCTGCATAGTTCGGATCAGAATGTTAATTCTCAAACCACGGACCAAAATTGATTATGTGGTCATAGTTCGGGCCAAAATAAGGTATTGACCCTTATAAGTAATACAACTAAGAATCTCGTGGAGAGTTCGATCCTGACTCAGGATGAACGCTGGCAGCATGCTTAACACATACAAGTCGGGCGAGAAGTATAAGTTTGAAGTTATTTTGAGTATAATGGTTGTTTTATGATTTTATGAAAGTGAATTTCAAGTGAGGGAAGATTAGGGGTTAGTGTGCTGCTGCTAATACATTTTATTAGCATATTGTTAATATTAATTTAAGTTAATATGATTTTATTTTGAAGATTCTTTTAAGGGGTTGATCCCAATTATAAAGGAATGGCACGTTTGTTATTATAAAAAATTAGAAGCACATGCATGTGGACCTATTCATATATTTTTAAAAGTTAAGGTATCAAAATGTAAGACATATAATTTTTAGGTACTTAAATATAGTTTTTATCAAGTTTTTAGCATAAAAATTTAATTTTAGATACTAAATCTTGAAATATATTAAGTTTAGTTACCACACTGTAATTTGCATATGAAACCACAAGTTTCTTAAAACCATACCGCAAAGTTCATTACAACATACATGTTTATTAAAATTTAAAACACATTACAAGTTTCTTAAAGTATATCAGAAACCTCATAAATCATACCACAAGTTCCTTGAAGTAGACCATAAATCTTATAAAGTATTCAACAAGTTTGTTAACATTAAAGGAAAGTGGGCGATTCGAGTGGGTGAAGGTAGGGTTTAGGATGCTAATCCTTTTTTATTAGCATATTGTTAGTAATAGTTTCACTTAATGTGATTTTATTTTGAAGATTTTTTTTTCATGGGGTTAATATCCATTACCAAGGAACGAGCACGTTTGTTATTAAAAAAATTAGAAACACACGCATGTGGACCTATTCGTAAATTTTAAAAAGGGTTATTGGTATATTATGTCCCTCTACTATGTAGTTTTATCAAACGTGTCACTCTACTATTTTATACATCAAACATGCTTCTATACTTTAGAAAAATTATCAAACATGCCCTTATATTAAAATTTTCATTAAAATATGGTCAACCACGGTTGAACCGAGATTCACACCACCCGACATCGGACGATTGGGGGTGAAATGTCAGTTTTTCCTCCTTATTTATTTCTCCAGGTCTCGTTAAAGTGAAATTATTAGAGGTATTTGGCTATACAAAAGAAACAAAAAAAAATTCTAAAGTCAAATTATTAGGAATGTTTTAGACATAGGTGTCGCCCAAACCAATGTTCGACCATGGTTGATGATTTTTGGATGCAAATTTTAACAGAAGGGTATGTTAGATCATTTTTACAAAGTATAGGGGCATGTTTGATTTAAAAAATAGTAGAGGTGCATGTTTGATAAAACTGCATAGTAGAGGAGCATATTATACCTATAACCTTTTAAAAAGTTAACGTGCTAACATTAAAGGTTTAACATCCTATCATATCCCTCCTGTGAATAGTCATCTCGACAAATATTAATAGGTGATTTGGTGAGAGTGAATTCTATTTCTAAGTTGGACAATGTGTGACATGTTTAATTTTATTTTTTTTCTTAAAAATAGATTGTATATTATGAAATTAGCGCCACATGCAATTTTAAAATACACCAGGGGTCGTTTGCTTCATGGATTTGAAAAATGAAGGTTTTGATATAACTTGGGTTTTGGAAAACCATGAATATATGAGGGTTTTTGGTTCATTATGAATCTGATAAACCATTGTTTGTTTCATGGATTTCATGATGGACTTTGTTAATTAGATTTGTATGTATGAAGTGAAATTTACCTTTATTGCCATCAATGATATAAGAAGAGAAAGAAAATATGAGGGGTAGGTTGGTAAAAAATTATGGACTTCAAACTCCATGATCAATTCCCACCTAAAGAGGTGGGCTTTTCAAGTTCGTGGGGCCCACTGATTTGGACCCTTAAAGTCCATGAGTCCCACGCATTTGTTACCTCTAAATAGGGGGTAGAAGTTTGGTTTTGCGGGTTGCCCGCACACTTTGTGGATACCCATACCTACAATTTGTGGATAGTGGGTTGGGTGAGGGTAGCAAAATATTGATTTTTGTGGTTACTGGTTAACCACTACCCACAGCGGTTTATCCACAAAACCCACATTAACCACATTAGTTATATTAGCTTGTGAAACTTGGAAGACCAAGAATTAAGGTAGTTACTAAAATCAAATACGTACTTATTCTATAAAACAAAACCAAGTCAATACGCAATGTTCGTGTGAGATACTTTTATCAAATAAGCATTGTCCGAATGATATATGTTTATTTTATAACAAAACCAAGTCCATAAATAGTCAGATAAATTAATCGGTTCGTTAGAAGTGTGGAATAATCGATAAATGTTAGTTCGATACCCAAACTCGTACCCATTTCTCCACGAACTCACAAACAACACAACATGCAACTAGCTAGCTACCAACAATACAAGACTATAATCAAGAGTAGAGAATAATCAATTCATTAAAAGTGTGTGCCTCAACTCATCGAGCCACTTTTGTGTTTTGTTGTTGTTACCATCAGAGGAGTCGTGACATGCAACGATGTTTGTATGATAACAGGTCACTCCGCCTCTCCGTTATCTTCAAATCTCTTTCCAAATCCATCTCTTCTCAATTTACACTAACTAACCTCTTGTATTCGAGATTTATAATTTATTTAACACTTTATTAACTTTCTTTTATGTATGTTCTTGTAGTTGTGTGAGAAGAAACACAACTTCACTATTTAATTACCATATTATTTTATTTAATGATGAAATTTTTGTGGGTATCCACAACCAACCCGCAGCGGATAGTGGTTAACCACTACCCACTGTGGGGTGGGTTGTGGGTAGCATAATTCTATATTTGTGGGCACCCACCCCAATTTCCACCCCTACCTCTAAATACTTGAAGCAAACAATGGATATTGGAAAAAGTCCATCATAGATCCAAATCCATCACCAAATCCTTCACCAAATCCATCAAGCAAACAAGCCTCATATTAATTGTCTAATGTTTTGAGCACCTCAAATGTATTTCACAATTTACCCAAATTGTGGGTCCCTTTCATCTGACAGTTGGTTCGCGGTGTCTTGCCAACTAGTGAGGCGCTGAGTTCTCGGGGTGGGGGGCTGGAGCAATGCCCAGTCTACAGGGAGGAGGTGTAAACTCTTGAACATCTCTTCTTTCGCTGCCAAGTGGCAGTAGGGTTGTGAGAAGGGGTGGAGCTTGTGGGCATTCTCACCACTTCCTTTCATTCTTTCGTTGGGGATGGGTTTGCTTGTCAATTCTTCCTCTTTCCTCTATCTTATGAGAAGCTTTCTCTTCTCTTTCCTTTCTGGCCACGTAAAGTTAGCACCTTTTAAGAAAGAGAAAGTAGAAAGAGATAGGGTTTAGTTGAAAATTGGTTGTCATAAATGATGTGGTGGACTTGTATTTATAGTTGGCAGTTAGTGGTACGGTGCATTTAGTGCTCTGCCAGGCATGTGGGAGACTTCTCTTCCCTAGTACTACGCCTGAGGCTACAATAAATGTTGTGTCAAAAGCGGTATGGTTGTAACCAGTTGTCCCATCAAGGAGGCTCATGTTCCTATGATACGCTCTCGAATCCAGACGCTGTGCAAGCTTCTGCTACCCTATGCTTCCCAACAGTACATTGGGCTTGATAGTCATGTGGGCCTAAGTCTTAGTGGGCCGACTCAATTAGCCCAACACATATATCATATATGACATACAAAATGAAGAGTCAAATACAAGTCAGCATTTTAGTAAACAAGGCTAACTCGAACTCAACTCGACTAAGCTCATTAATAAACGAGTCGAGCTCGAGCTCAGCTTGTTTAATAACAAGCCGACTCAAGTTGGGTAAAATTCGGCTAGACTCAGCTGATTTGCAGTCCTACCCACCCACGCACTGATAGACCTTGTAATCTAGGGTGTGAGTAATGCGGTGAAATTGGGAATTAGGTTAGTTAGATCAATTAGGGATTGATCTAAGGATTGAGAATTGGAAGAACGAGTTGATAGAGAGGAAGAAGGGTTTTGGCCGAGGCCTAGAAAAGAGAGGGAGGGTTTCGGCTAGAGGAAAGAACAACAGAGAGAGGATTAGGGTTTTAATATTCTTATTATGCTTCACCATAAACCTGACTTACACCGATACTTATACTAATCGACAATTATCCCATTTAATTCCCAAAATAATAACCTAATCATAATACTCTCTTCCCAACAATAAACAAATCAAAATATTCTGAATAATAAACTGATAATTAATACTAATTCCTAATAACTTGAACGAAAAGCGTAAACTAAAAGACCTACGACAGAGATTTTACCCATTTACACTCACCTTGAAAAGATGACTCCTCAATTCCTTCCTCGAAGAAACCCCTCCTTAGCCGGATTATCTTGGGGAAGCCTATTAATAAGAATCCATTTTCTTAGACGACCTTTCTCGATTAAAAATCCCTTTTGAATCACTAGAACATCCTCTCCTCAAACTCCAGTCCTTGAACCTCATTCCAAGGGTCCTTTAACCCCCATTAAAATTTTCTAGAATTAATCCCTTCAAAAATAACCATTTTTCTTAATTATTTTTATCTTGGACGAATTTTTCACCTAACTTGAACCTTCTTATCATTTTGGAAAATAATTTTCCCATGTCAATCATGAGCGCCTATATCCTGTAAAATTATCAAAACCTTAAAACCCCTCGACAAGATTTTTATTTAATTAAAACGAATATTAGAACAATTTCTAAAAATAGAAATACATCTTCAAAAATCATCAAATTAAATCAAAGCTATATCGTAGACCTCCCTCAATTTATAAAATTGTTAAACTCAGTAAAAAAACACCCAGAGAAACTCGAAACAATTAAAACATCCAAAAATACTTTTTTGGAAATTTCCAGCAGCTATAGTGACCACCCAAAATCCGTCACAAAAAGCCTGTCACGCCTGTTGCTAAAATCCAGAATTGCACCCTCACGAAAAATCACCAAATCGATCGATCTAACTCAAAGGGATCGAGTTCCCTTACCTCTAGAACGTGCCTAGGCCTAGGTTGGATGACCTGGGACATTGATCTCCTCGTTGATCGAACCCTCAAACGTCACCGCTAATAAAATACGAGCTTCGGATTAGACTGTCGATAAATCGAGATTAGAAATCGCGAAGGGGTTCGTGATCCTTACCTAGAAACACGAAATGGATGGGATTCGGATTGGGATTGGGATCGGAATCGGAATTGGAGTCCGGGTGGAGATCTGTCGCTCCCTTTCTTTTTTTCTTCTCGCCACGGAACAACGGCGGTGTTGGGAAGGGGATGGCGGCGGGATTAATTGAGGGGAGGAGAGGGTTTAGATGCTGGGGAATTATAATGGGGAGAGTGGAGGCGCCCAGGCCTCTTGGTCGCCCCACTAACTATTTTTTTTAATATAATAATAATATTATAATAAAAATAATATTATAATATTATTATTCTTAATCCGTGATTGTAACTCTTAGTACGTAACTGTCAATCCAACCGATCACGTATTAAAGTCGAACCTAAATCTAAAATACCGGGGTGTTACATCTTCCCCCTCCACCTCATCTTCCCAGCGTCCCAAGAGCATAATAAAATCCGGTATCACGCACTAGTGCCCAAAAACAAATTTCTCGTTGCAGTTGAAGCATTTTCCCTTCCTTCCTCTTCTGATCAATCTCTGCATGAGTCAGGTGAACGAATCCCTTCGACGGTGCACGAATACCGGCTCGAGTAGTGGCCGGTCATGCAACCCCGGCGTTCCCTGCGACTATGCTAGCGCCGCCCACATTGCCTCCTCCGCCACCCACCGATCTGCCCGGTCCGCCACTTCTACCCGACTTCGAGTATCGCCCCACTGGGCCTCTCCAGCTCGCAATCTCTTCCTCCTTGAGCCTTGCCAAAAGAAAACATACCTCAATGAGTCAGGTTTGAAAACCCTCACTACCGCGACAATCTACGGACGTAACCCTGTCATGCACAACCCAACCAAAGTCTCTTCCGGCACTCACTTGTACTGATTTCCCAATTTAAGAAACTCCGCCCGATACTCAGGAACCGTTCCTGTCTGCCTCAACTTCGCTAGCTGCTCAAGCGCCCATCCATCAGATTTGCCGAACGGGTATCGAACTTCCTCCTGGAATCGAGACCACGATATGGGTGTCCTCATCTCCGCGTACGTCCTCTCTAACCACTCCCACCACTGTAGTGCATCGCCTTCTAAGTAGAAAGACGTCAGATAGGCCTTCCTCTCCTCCCGCACGTCATGGTTCTTGAACCACCTGTCAGCTGCATACAAAATAACCAAGCATCCTCCTGACCATTGAATTTTGAAAATTCGATGGTTGGAGGTTTAGCTTGAAATACCAGGTCTCCATACCCTCATAATTCGAGCCATACCAACCATACCTGCTGATACCTGGCGTAACCGCGCGATGGTGCCCCTGTGATCTTTTCTGCTCCTGCTCCGTTACCCACTAGCCACCATAATCTTCCCGTCTACTCATCTCCTTTCCCCTACTTCCCTACTCAAACTCATGCTGCCTGTCCAGGGTCCCATATTCCATTCGAACTGCCCCGTAGAAAAGGTAGGAGCCTCCCGACCCCTCTCGCACCGTTCGCCAGTCGCCCTTGCCGCGATCGGCTGCTTCCTTGGTCAGAGACATACCGGTTCGGGAATGAGTTTGGACCATTCCACCCAGTTTCGGCTCTGCCGAACCAGTCCGACCCCTTCACCATCTGACGATCCGCCCATGCACTAGTCTTGCCATGACCCATCAAACTCCTTTCTTCATCTTCCTCATCCCGCACCATTATGAAAAAAAAAAATCTTCCTCATCCCGCATCTCTCCCTGCCTAAACGTCATGTTTTGAATGACGTTGTTATACCTAGCCATCTTTGATTTTTCCTTCTGTGCCGTCGCAATCTCTTGCTTAGAGGGAGTTGACAGTAGCCCATCTCCTAGCCCTGGCTCTCGTGCAACTGAAGTCGTGTGAGTCCCCATCGCAGCTTATCAGGACGCGAGGACATCGACGGTCGACTCTTCCGCCGCTTGCTCCTCCTCCGCCACAGTCGCGCTACGACCCCTTTGGTCGCGACCTCCTTGCTCCTTAGCCACGGCCACCACGAGCTCCACCTCGGCGGCGCTCTAGCCTCCTTGCCTGCATCGATGCTCTCTTCCGAGGACAATTTCCCAAACAACTGGACCGACACCATCTGGTATGTGTTTGCGTTAGCCTTTTCACCAGCTAACCTCACTTTTTCTACAAACTGGTGGATGGAACGGTTAACCTCCTTCAGCCTTTCCTCTAGGTTTCCTTGCATCATGGAGACCTTGAACATCTCCGTGTGAACTTCAGCGCAGTCCGGCTCCTCGACGCATTCTCCGTCGCGTGGCGGTTGAATCAGCACCTTCTCCTTGGCTTGCGTCGCCTTGGCCCCTTTCGCCGCGTCTCCTGCCTTCAAGACTGCGGTTGATGCCACTGCCTTGTCGTCAGCTTTCTCTTCCTTCTCTTGCGCTCTCGTGGATGTCATGTTTGCTGAACACTCCGCACCCAACTGACGCTCCGATACCATGATGATAGACCGCGGAATCTAGGGTGCGAGTAATGCGGTGAAATTGATAATTAGCCTAGATCAATTACTGATTGATCTAAGGATTGGGAATTGAAATAACGAGTTAATAGAGAGGAAAAAGGGTTTCGACCGAGGCCTAGAAAAGAAAGGGAGGGTTTCGGCTAGAGGGAAGAACAACAGAGAGAGGGTTAGAGTTTTAATATTCTTATTATGCTTCACCATAAACCTGACTTACACCGATACTTATACTAATCGACAATTATCTCCTTTACCCCCAAAATAATAACCTAATTATAATACTTCCTCCCCAACAATAAACCAATCATAATAATACGAATAACAAACCGACAATTAATACCAATTCCTAATAAATATAAAATGTTTCCATCACCCACCATCCACTCGAATAAATGAAAGTAGAAAATTTTCGATTCACGATGCACTCACATCAAATACCCATCCACTATACCCATCCACTATAATTTGAATTATTTACAAGTTGATTAATGTCAACCACGAATTAACAACCCATCCCCCAAGTGTAGCTAGGAACTTTATCCCCAATGGGTTGGACAAAAATGAACCGACTAAAGGCAAAGACTTTGGGCTTTTATCATATGTTTATTACTCGCTGCAAACTATCTCATCATATTATTAAAGCATCGTTCACACGGTCTCCCACACTGCAAACCATCTCGCATGATCGATGGGCACGTCTGTAGCTATTTGGTCACTCCAACTATCAGCAAACATAAGGTTCAAAAATGTCTGCAGTGAAACTGGAGGCATCGAGCAGCATTATAGATGAGCATATGGAGTGACCTAATGGCCCAATTAACAACCTCCAGAGGTGATTCAGGAACATAAGAGAGAGATAAGTACCGATCTGAAATGTGGCTACTATGCAAGCATGGTATGGATCCATCTCATCATTCAAAAACCAGAAACCAGCAATCTTCCCAATGAAACTAACTATCTCAACATTTTATACGTATCCTCTTTATCGCACAATGAATAACTTACGAACAAACAAGCATTAGGACTCTAGGAGGGAAAGATTTATGTACCAATACTTGCCATTTTCCCTCCATCATTCCTTTGTCTATAGCAGCAAAAAGAATTTCGAAATTGCGATCTCCCACGCATTGCTGTGTCATCTCAAACCAACAGCAGCCTAGTCATTCTAACTTCCAATCCATTTTACCAGAGAACATAAGGAGAACTTGGGAGGTAGACCAGTGGATTAGACAAATGAGCTTTGATTACATACATGTCCACAGAGTGCCACAATAGAAACTTGGTTCAAAACTCGAACTCCAACTACAGGTAAAAGCTCACACCTTGATCTTCAATCTCATCATCATCACTATCCCACAACACATAGTCTCCATCCTCTTCCTCCTCTTCCCCTTCAGAGAACACCGAAATTCTCATGCTATTATACCCGGATATCTCAGCTGCAATCTCCTCAACAACACTATCCACATCATCACCAGTCCACTCATAGCCATCAACTCCACCTTCATCACTCCATTCGTAGCTAACTTCGCCATCGGAATGGCTAAACGAATCGCGCACTTCATACTCTAGTTCTTCCTCACTACTATTACCCCTCCTCTTGGGTACCAAATCTTTCTCTGTTACTTCCCCATTCTCAACTCCAATCCATGGCACCCACAAATCAGCATGCCTCCCCAATGCTCTATCCCTATCCCCTACCACCACCGTCCCCAAATTAGCCTCCCTAGCTCTCTTCAATATCGCACCGAAATCTGAATCATCTGAAACTAAAACCAACCAATCAATACCTCTACTCATGGAGTGCTCAATTTGCCTCTTCACAGCCCAATCTGCAGCCTGCGGCTTGTCCTCCACCGTCTTCACATAAACTCCGGCTCTCCTCAGCTCCGCCGCAAGCCCATATCCTACTTTGGGAGTCACCAATCTCCTTGCCTCGTCATTATACTTGTCGTTCCCGGAGATGAATCTCTCTTTATACCGCTGACGCTTTTTCCCTTTCAGAGACCTCATTCTGTTCACTTTCTTCTGCCTTTCTCGCTCGTGGAGCTGCCGGAAGTGCTTCTTTAGGTCCAAATTGGTCTTGCATTTGCGGCCGCAGACCCCGCAGATGTAGGGTTCCGGCGCGGCGACGATTCCTTTCCGTTCCAGAATGTCTTGCTGCCTCCGCTCCCGCCGCTCCTGAGCTACCCACTGCGGGAGGTGGACGAAGGCGTGGCGGTTCGCATAGGCCGACATCTCGACGACATCTCCGAATTTCGACGCCACTTCTTTCAATGACAACGCGGCGTGGTACGGCGGCCCCCGCGGCGGCTTGTTGTCGAGGTCCCATAGTACGACTACTTTGTTCTGCTTGGCGGTATAGATTCCTTGCCTGTTCTTCACCATGTTGATCTCCGAATTCGAGGCGGAGGAGCAGGCGGTTATCGAGCATCGGCGGTGAGGCAGCGGAGGCCTTGAAGTTAGAGTTAGTCCGTTGAACAGACGATTCGGGTTCGAGGGAGCTAGAGATTGAGAGAAATGGAGGGCGGTTGGGAGCAAAAGCGGTGGTTTCAACAGGTGGGAGGACTCGACGGCGCTGGAAAGCTGAGGCATGGCTCAATTGTGAAGGCGCATCCCCAGGCTACCGGCTCCGGCGGCAGACCGGCGGAGGAGTGAGTAATGTCTTTTCAATTTCCTACTTCTGGATTGGAGAGTAAAGAGATAAGGAGGATCTTTCGTCTGTGACGACATAATGATTTGGGCTTGGGCTTGATGAATCAGCAATTAATGTTTGGGCCTTGCGGCCCCTGAATTATATGAGCCATTTCGGACCTGGGTCCTCACAAAAGTATGAGCCTCGAGTGCTCATTTGGTTGGGCTTGAGCTCATATTTTTGAAAGGGGGTGTTCAAACGAACCCGGATCCATCGGTTGGATCACGTCCTTGTGCCAAAAACTTAGGTATCGTTTGCTTGTGGGATTTGGGTAATGGATTTGGCACTCAAATGCCAAACATCATGGATTTGAGACAACTCCATTGTTTGTTAAGGGACACAAATCTGTGGGGCCATGGATTTTAATCTTTTTTTAGATCCAAATCCGTGGACCCCACGGATTTGCAAATCCCACATTTCATTTGGGATTTGATCATGGAAGGCAAAGTTGTGAGACAAATCAATGATAAAAATTAACCAAACAAACAATAAACTCTTCCAAATCCATAATGCAACAAATCCATCATAAATCCAAAGGTTTTTAAAACTCTAAACCCTCATTTTCAAATCCAACAAACAAACGAGCCCTAAGAACTTCTCAAATTAGTGAAATTACACATGTTTTGAGATAGATCGTTTCAGTCAAAAGCGATTTGTCATTGACCGCTTGAGACCTCAGCGATCTGTGACATATTGTTTCTTACCTAATCATTTACAGATAGCTCCTGACCTCAGCAATCAGTGACAAATCGCTTCTGATCTCAGTAATCAGTGTCTGATATCCAAAAAAAAAATCAAACGACAATAACTTTGTGCTCGGTTATCAGATTAACGTGATTTTTTTTATTTTACATCTTTTTGATTGCAACTAAAAACAATTGAAAGTAGTATATTCAAATTTCGTCTCCAAATAAGGCCATTTGATGAGTCCGTCTAAAAACAACAATGAGTTCTAATGCAATATCAAAACACTCTTAAACAATCTCAAAGTGGTGGATTCAATTGTTGGCATAAGCATAAATATGAATATATAGTTTCCCTCAAAAAATTACATGTGTCCTATGAAAATGCCTAATCAGGCAGGCTATGCTTATGTGTTGAGTTGTGAGAATTGGAACATTGCTTTATGGGGTTTGATTTATACTTCTTAGCATATGCAGAAAAATCTTGCTTGATGGCTATTCTCTTATTGTGCTTGCGAGCCTACCACTTTGTTTGGGAAGAGGTGCAAATGGGAGGAGCGTACAAATGGGAGGGGTAAACACAGTTTCCAATACACTTGCACCTGTTTGGATAATTTGTAACAGTAGGGGTGCAAAACGGGAGTGCAAAGTTACTGTTTCAGCTTACCCCAAATTGGGGTGCAAGGGAAGGAAGGAAGAGAGGGGGAAGGGGTGAGAGGGAAAATTATGGTTTTTTAATTATTATATAATTATAATTATTTTATAATTATAAAATAATTAATATTGTCAATTTCTTTTACTGTAGTTACTGTTAATGTAGACATTGTTCGTGATTGACTTTTTGACTCCGGAAGCAAATTTATCAATGTTCGTTTTGTCAAATAGAGATCTCTTGGTTGACTCGAATTTGCATTGAAAATTAGAGATGAGAAATGTTTGTGGAACGTGTTTGACTATGTTTGACCATATTCAATTTAAAGTTAAATTAGAGACGAGAACCTTGTAGGATGACCAGTTACGAATTGGGCTTCGAGCTTCGAGGTCGCTCAACCAATAATTATTACAGTTATTATAATTAATTATTATTTAAGCACTACTATATAATAATTATTTTTATTAAATCATATAATTAATATTAATTATTATATAATTAATTTTCTTTTATTATTTTGTGATAATGTTTTATAAATTTGATAAATCTATTTTGTAATAATATAATACTTACTTTTAACTCTATTTGCACCCTCCTACTTTTTCATCCAAACAAAAATTTACCCCTACACTTATACCCTCCACCAATTTGCACCCCCCAGCAATTTACCCCCTCAACTTGCACCCTCTCGAATTTGCACCCCTTGTTGCCAAACATAGTTACGTGTTCGATAAGAGTTTCAGTCAGATCAAGGTAGTCAAAAAGATTAGTGCCAGAAAATATAAAAAATTTCATACAATTAGTAAAAATTATATTTCTTGATGATAATAGTCCAAGAAATAGATAGGATTTGGGGCTAGGTTTACATTCAATCAACAAAACCTGACTAAATACTTGAATTCATCGCCCTAAACAATTACTAGATTGTACCCCGACCCGTTAGCCGGTTGCAATATGATAATCGCAATTAACAAAGTTTCAAAATTTAAACTTCAGCAGTATCCTCTTCTCTTAGAAAAAAAATCCAAAACTACCACTGTTTTAAAAAATTTTACAAAAATACCACCCATTCCCAAGAATTTCCAAATCTACAACTGTTTATTAAAAATCGCTCCACTTAGGGGCGGTTAAAATAGAAACCGCCCACCGAGGCGGCGGTTTACCATAGAACCGCCTGGTCGACAAGCGTTTTGTCTATTTTGGAAAAACGCTCTTCGAAGGAGCGGTTTTCATGGTTGCCCTAGCACAAACCGCTTCCTCAGGGAGCGGTTATGTGTCGGCATGGTAAAACGCTCCACAGGGAAGTGGTTTACCATGTCGACACATAAACCGCTCCCCCCAGCGATTTGTGCCTCGTCATCCGACATGTCGGCATGCAGGTGGTTGCAGGGGTGGGGCTGCATGACATACTAAAACCGCTCCCCCCCCCCCCCCCCCCGACAGTTTGTAGTGTAAAATTTGCCTATAAAAGGCAGGTCCAAAAAACTCAAACTCAAACTCTTCACTCCACTCCTTCTTCTTCTTCTTCTTCTTCTTCTTCTTCTTCTTCTTCTTCTTCTTCTTCTTCTTCACCACCTTTAAATTATTTAGTTTTTGCGATTAACGTTAATTCGTAAGTTTGTTTTGTATTACTTTTCATTGTCATTTGTGATTTTTATGTAAGTAACTTAATTACATTTTTATTGCAGATGACATTCCAAAGGTTCACGCTTGGGTTGCGGTGGAATGGTTACACGGAAGAGACTGAAAAAGGTGTAAGTTACGTGGGTGGATATTTTTATAAAATGAAGGTCCGTACGAGACCGATACTTGAAGAGATCCATCAAATGTGCACTGAGGTTACCTGCATGGATGACACTAGAAGAGTTGATCGTATGGTGTATCGATATCCAAACAGACATGGTGGGTCTCTCTGGAATGAGGAATTCCTCATTACCACTCAGGAGGACGTTGATGCCATGGTCCAATTTGTTACCACCAATAAGATTAAACAAGCGGAGATGTTCTTTTACACCGAGGCGGTCGAAGGCGGTGTATGTCATTCTGGAGATGGCCAAACATCTGGTATCCACGGTGGGAGTGTATTATACGAAGATTATCCCCACCAGGAGTACCAAGACTCGAGGTTGATGATTTATACATATATAAATCTATTATAACAAACAATATAAATTAATTAAATCAAGGTTGTTTCCGAGAAATATACATTATCTAATAAACATTAATATTAAGCTAACTAAAATGAATATCATTTTCGAAATTTAAGTAAAATTATTTTTGTACACATACACATAAAATCAAATATATTATTTTGTACTTCGTATTGATTGTTTTCAATAATTTAAAGCAATACCAGTACACTCGTAAGACTCTTAGGAGAGGTATAAATCTCCTTGTACACATATACTTCTTTTTGAATTACATACCCATTTGGGTCGATCTGCCCCGACTCCCGCCATGCGATAAATTACCCGACTTGCCAGGGGGCGAGTATGGGTATCGAGATACCCTGTCCGGACCTGCTCATTACCATTCCTAACGCTAACCAATGGGGAATTATTGGAATTATATTTTGGTAGTAGGGAGATTATGGGATTATTAAGACAATGCCAGCTTTTAGCGTTATGGTACAACTTCAAAATGTATCTATACTCTTTGTACAAATTCTTTTATGATACAATTTAAACCTGTAACTTTATGTGATGGTACAACTTTAAGTTGCAAAGCTGTACCATGGCATAAGAGTACAAATTCCTTTATGGTACAACCTGAACTTATACATTTAACATTATGGTACAACTTTAAGTTGTACATTAAAACACCAATACTTTATAGCATAGTAGAAGTGCTCCTTGAGCAATACTGTGCTTATATGTATTGGAGGATGTTGTATGACACACTAATAAAATTATTTTATTGTAACACATGTCAAAGTAGATATTATGTTATGTAGTATAATTAATTTGATTTTTTATTAAATATTAATATTCAACGTAAAACTAATGAGATGGTTGATTAAAAATTAATAAAAGAGTGATGTTGCAATTTGCATTATACAACTAATCAGATTATAAATGGATAAAGAAACGAAACTACTAATAAAAATAAAAGATAAATATAACATAGCAGGTCAATTAAGCAACGAAGGGACTTTTAAGTTGGAGTTAAACAACGATGGGACTTTTTAAGTTGGAATCGGAGATCCTTTTAATTTTAATTAATTAATTGGGTGTTTAAAAATACCAAAGTATCCTTTGGAAAAAACTGATGGACTGGGTTCTCAAGGAGAATCTCCATATATTATTTGGAGGAAGGAGGATAGGGGTTCAAGTCATACAAAAAGAAAAGAATACAAACTAGGAAGAAGAAAAAAGCTTGAACTCTCTTTGGATCTTGGATGGATTGCTCCTTCCTTAACTCCTCCAAGGTGATCAAAATTAGGAAAGAGCATGAGACATCGTGAACACATACATTCAAAAGAGACTATGAACCGTCTCGCGGTGCCTTAAGACTGTTTGGTTATGGAGTGTGGTGGTAATTTCTCCAACCAATATGTGAAAGGCGTTGGGGCCTGGCTGTCACCTGTCCACAACCACTATAACTAGAGGCACGTCCAAGTAGCTGGTCAAGAAGTCGAGCAACTTCTACAACTCTGTCTCATCAACCATCATCACGAAACCCTAACTTCCAAATTGGTACTTCTTTTCAAATCCTTGAGTACCATATTGTGAGTGCAGGAGAGAACGTCTCCATTCATTGAGCCTCACAACTCCGTCTCATCGACAATCGTCACGACACCCTAACTCCGAAATTGGTACTTCTTTTTCAAATCCTTGACGGCCTTATTGAGAGTGCAGGAGAGAACGTCTCATTCATTGTGCCTCTCAACCCTCATTCCAAAAATGAGAAACCACTTAACCTTCAAACTAGGTATGAAAAAACAATCCAAATGCCACTAGCCATGTGTTAGAAACCCAATTTCTGTGGGTTTCTCTATTTATTTATGGTAGGATAATTATCGTTATGGTTAGTAGAGATTTAGTCGAATTAGGTTATTTGTTAGGGTTTACCGGTATTTTTCTATAAATATGTAAGTTGGCTTTCATTATGGATCAGTTAAGAAGAATATTAAGAATAATTTCCAACCCTAATCTCTCCCAAAACCCTCTCAAATCTTATCTATCTCTCTCCCAAAGGCTTCGGCCTGTTCTCCTCAATTCTCCCCAATTTTGTTCTTCAATCCCTAAATCTCAAATTCTACTATCTAAATCCCTAATTCCTATCCCCAATTCCCTAAATCCTTATTCGTACGAGTAACACGGGTGTCGAAGATCATCCCTAGAAGCCCTAAGAAGCGGGTTTCTTACAGTGGTATCAGAGCCCGGTTGCAGGCACTCTTACTAGAGCCATGTCGAGATTTGAAGGGATCTCACATAGAGAACTCACCAGGGTTCTTAGAATGAAGTTGGAGACTGCGAGAGTAGAGATGAGTCCAACCCCACCTCCAACTGCAGCAGTAATCGAAGCAGTGGTTGTTGAAATGTATTTTGAAGAATGGTTGGAACAACCGGCGTTCCCAATCGAGTTCGAGCAAGGATAAACCGCCGCCGCCGCTGTGAAGACCAAGAAAGAAGCTTCTGTAGCGGTTGCCTCTTATGCAACACCACCGACACCATCATCACTACATGTTCCTCTATCCGACGCAGATAGCAAGAACAACAATCTGCTGCAGCACTTGAAACCGCCAAGGAAAGAAGAGCCATTACTAATGCTCGAAACCGCCAGTGCTGTTATCACCCCTCCGCCATTGTCGAAGGCCGCAGTCGTAGCCATGACATTGTCAATCAATTCGGCGTAAGGTGAGGAGAAAAGCTACCTCGAGTTCTATGGAGATAGAGGTTCACGAGAACAGGTGAGGAAAAAAATGAATTCGGCGGAACAGTCGATGTTCCCACGCCAATTTACGGTGTCCTGGAAATTCAGGAAAAGGAAACGAGAGCTATGGTCTGGGTGTGCAAAGTTTCCCAACTCCTCATCAACCGAGCAAGCTGCTATCGATGGTAAGGTTTATAGCAGGGAGAAACGCGGTGGCGGGAAGATCTCCTGTGGCGCTGAAATCGACGCCATCTCCAGGCTGGTAGTTGATCGCTGGGAGTACAAGGCTGGCCAGACTTAGGTCGCCGATCACCAATCTGGTGAGCTACTCGTCGGCGGGGCAAGGAAGAAAGGAAGCGGAGTCCGAGACTCGGCCTGAAGCGTGCGGGTCTCGGTGTCGTAGTCCTGGCGGATCACCGACAGAAATCGAGTCGCCATCTATCATCTATGTACGAGGCAGAGCGGCAGACGGCGACCGAGACGCCGGGGACGCAAGCGACCCAACATCCACGACGACAATCGATCTGCCCGTCGCCGAGGAAGAAGATGATGGTAGAGAAGCGCAACGTCAAATACCACTGAGGGCGCGAAGCAGAGAAGCAGAATCGTCGGTTGTCCACGACGGAGAGCCGAATCGCGCCTACGCCGCGATTTGCTGATGTGGCACCGATGGAGAAGAAGACGAACGGGTTGGAGATGTGGCTGGGAGCGCTCTCGACTCCGTGTCATCGGCTGGGGAGTTCCCCGCCGAGAGAGGAGAAGCCGGAGAGAGTGGAGACGACTGAGGCTCTATTCGTGTGGTTGGCACCGTCCCCTGTAGCGGCCGACGCGGAGAAGAAGCAGCCGGCAAGCGAGAAGTTGGAGGGAGGCGAGTTCTCTTCCCCTCAAACCCTAGGCCGCCGAAGCTTGGAGTGGGTCGGGCTCTTGATGGGCCAAGATGGTTGGATCGCAAGCCCTAACCGGCGAAAGCAAAGGCCGACGCGGATCAGGCTCGAGGAAGAAAAGAAGTTTGTTGTGCACGCGTCGAGCCAAATAGATCTGCAAGGGAGATTTGTCATGGGCCAGTCCGACAGACAAGACAGTCCAAGGTTGGGTCAGACTTTGGCCAAACAAGAAAAGAATCCTAGGCAAGACAAGAAAGAGATCAGTTGGACTCATGGAGTTATTGGGCCGCTTTTTCAAGTGGAACTTGGGCCACTAGTTGGCTCTATTGTTGGGTCTATTCTGCAGGAGCATAACTTGAAGGCTGAAGGAAGTGGGCCTCAGTTGGGCTGTTGGATTAAGTCTCTCTTATATGGTGTTGGGCCAATGCAGAAAAGAGGACTTAAGCCCAACGTTGGATCTGATTTTAAAGAGATAGGCTTGGAGGAAAAGAATGAAGGAGTTATGAGGTTGGCAAGTGGGCTTGTAAGCCCAAACGAAATTAAGAAGAAGAAGAGCGCCTCATTACTCCAAGCAATTGTGGGCCAAATCCAAGATGTAGGAAATGAAAGTTTGTTGAAGCTAGGGGTTATTTCCACCACTAAGTCCATGGAGACAATTATGGAGGACAAGGAAGAACAATTTTCACACTCTTATTTCGTGGACTTAGAAAGAGAGGAGGAAGAATTGTTTAGCTATGGAGAACATGCACGTGTCACGTGGTTCGAGAAAAGTCGATGGAATTGAAAATTGTTGAAGATGACTTCCTTCGCAGTCAGGAGCGCAACTGGAAACGAAGGAAGCATAAGGTCACAAAGACGAAAGTCGGCTACGACCTTGAGGGCAATGTCATTTTCGAGGGGAGGAGATTGTTAGAAACCCAATTTCCGTGGGTTTCTCTATTTATTTATGGTAGGATAATTATCGTTATGGTTAGTAGAGATTTAGTCGAATTAGGTTATTTGTTAGGATTTACCGGCATTTTCCTATAGATATGTAAGTTGGCTTTCATTATGGATCAATCAAGAAGAATATTAGGAATATTTTGCAACTCTAATCTCTCCCAAAACCCTCTCAAATCTCGTCTATCTCTCTCCCAAAGGCTTCGGCCAGTTCTCCTCAATTCTCCCCAATTCTGTTTTTCAATCCCGAAATCTCAAATTCTCCTATCTAAATCCCTAATTCCTATCCCCAATTCCCTAAATCCTTATTCGTACGAGTAACACGGGTGCCGAAAATCAGTCCCTAGAAGCCTAAGAAGTCGGTTTCTTACACCATGGCCTTGTAAATCTCTATCGTGCAATATATGTTGCCTTGTTCTTCCTACTAGTCTCGGCCTCCTACGAAATGGGTTGTGAATTGTGATTACTCAAAAATGATCAAGAGCCCCATGTCTAACCTGGAAAACTGAGACGACATAGAAGTCCCAAAATTGTCCTCGAATTGTGGTCTATATCCACTAGAGCTACCTTCCTCAAGATGATTGCCCGTGAAGAAAGCTCCTCCACATTTAGGAAGTCATCGTAGTCGTCCTCACCATCACACTCGGACACTTCCTAATATGCCTTGTTTAAGTCAAATGGCTAAAAGAAATTCTCCTTTTTATTTTCTTTGACAGCCCCATTTCCCTTTTCTATGTACGTAAAAGCATATCTAACCGAGAGGTAATCTTCATCTGCCCCCCAGATGCTCAATTCATAAGTCCAGACTAATAAACTGTGGAACCTAACTTGTTTTGGCTTCTTGCTCCCATCATCTACCACGTATGCTGTCGCATTAACGATGAATTGATAATTTATCCAAATACATACATCATACATGATATTTATTCGTATCCAGTATCTCATTGAAATTAATATCTTGTGTAGTTCTAACAATATTTGATTCCTCCCTTTGTTGAAAATTTGGAGGGATCAGTAGGAATCGGCATCTCCTACATAGCTAATAATGTGCTTAGACTTTTCCAGTTAAACAATTGGTTCAGGGTGACCGGATTTGGACCACTGATAGGATGCTCAAGTTATAATAAACTCAAGGTCTAGCTACTCTACTAGACTAATCAAATCATGTATACATTAATTAGACGACTTAGTAGATTGGTGGTCTTTTTAGATCGTATTTTCACGGATTATCGGATCTATTGCTACTTCAAACCTTTGTTACTATCTAACTTAACAATTGAGGGGTGAATTTCTTATGACGAACAACCATGCAAATTAATGATTAATCTACGTAAAGGTGAGATAGTTGAACTCGTATCCCCCTAGGTATAGTATGGAATAAACGGGATGAAACATTCATGTAGTTCCTCTAATCCTTTGTGATGTCGGAATCTATTTAGCTAGCATCCAAGTCAATGGTCATGCACTTAGGGTGAACTTTTAGGTAACTACTTGACTCAATTGTCATGCAACCAACTAAATCCTAGAGTATTAAGCATATATTCTCTACTTGGATAATAACCTTTGATATGATCCCAAATTGCCAACCATTCACATCACAATTACTTGACAAAGAAGCTATCGAAGTTGGGAAGAAGAAAGGCAGAATTTGGCTAAGTCAAAATCCGTGTTCAGGGTACATACTTTGGAGGCATGGTTCTCTCAATTGACTTAGTCTAAATTCAATTTGAAGGTTTGTTTTGCAGATAAAGTTGCCATATTTCCAATGGTATGCTTTGTGGATCCAGATGATGTCATTAAGATTGTTTTCCAAGGCCTCAAAGTTGCTACCTCAAAACTGGAAAACTGCCAGAAAATGGCGAAGGCAGAAAACTGTGTTGAGATACCAACTTTGAAGCCCTATATCTGGAGTTTGGAGAAAGATCTCGGGTTGTTTCAAGTTGGAGGTGAAAGAGGGAGTTTTCATCTACAGAGGAAAGTAATTGGTTGAGTTCGAATCAACCTAGAAGACCATTTTCGAAGGGCTCAATGATGATATGAAGCCTGTTTTCCTAGGCAGACTTGCTTGTGTTATAAGTCAGTTTCTTGGCTTGCAAGTTACCTTGTTTTACACGAATTCTTTAGCCTTTTCCTGTTCTAATTAGTTTCCTTGTTCATGTAGGGTTGTATTAGGGTTTATTGTCTTTAAATACCTTTTCAATTCACGTTGTAAAGTAGAGTTGATTGAATAGAAATGAAACCGTTTGGTTTTGCAAGTTTGCGAACTTGTTTGAGTTTGGTGGATTCCAAACTTGTGAGATTTGTATCGATTGAATATTCTCTTCAATCGTGGTCGAGCAGCCACCCTTTTATACCATACGAGCTTTCCCCAGGTGTGGAATTGTCCGTTGGTTCCGTTTTATCCTAATTTCGTATTAAGAACGCGTTGTTCTTGATTCGAGTTCAATCAATCTTCGAATTGATTGTTTGCTGCGTTACTTTGATAAAAATACACCCCCAGGGTCGTATTAACCTTAAGGAAAATGGGACTTCAATTCATTAGTCATGCAACTAAAATCTCATATTACATGATGTTGGTTCTATCCTTGACCTAATTAGATGGTCACTAGATTAGAACAAGAACAAGGCAATCAATAACTTAGTCTAAAGCTACAAATTGGCATAATCAAACATCAAATACTCATAAAGTGATATAGGGTCTTACATGAACATTCCACTCCTAAACAATCACCTATACTAGCTAGGGTTCAACTTAACCCAAATACAATGAGATCACACCATGAGAGGGGGAGGAAGCACTAGAAAGGGAGCAGAGAAATTTAATCTTCTTAGGTCCAATATGGAAAACAAGTTCAAGCTCCAAAGTTGAAGGCCTCATCTTCTTCTCTAAACTCCCTCTCTTCTATCAAGCGAAAATCCTAACTCTTTCTCTCTTCATAGATCATGTCATGAAATTCACGATCACGATCTTTTCTTTAGGTCAAGAACTCTAATTGATGTTCTTCACATGCCTGTCAAAAGGACCGTCAGACTCGATGCTACTTCCAATTTTTTTATTGTTAGAGCTCACGATATAATCTAAAAGATTACAACCATGAACATATACAACTCTCGTTAACTTTTATCATGATCATATGATCCAACCGTGTTCTTTCTGATGAACACCGCAAACTCCTCTCCTCTTCTTTAAGTAATTGAAAGGGATGAAAGTGGGATGTTGTGCTGGGTTTGGAAATATGAAGGGTTCCACTTTTGTTATGCTAATAAGGGAACTGTTTGGTAACCTTTTTAGCCATGTAGTTAGCATCTTATCTAATGAGACAAAGTTTCAATTTGGATGACTCATTTTCTTGTTCTTGGCATTATTAATTTCCGAACACCTACCATTTGAAATGCATTAATAATTCATTAAAAAATGCATTAATAGAGACTGACCAACTTTGTAACTTGTCGGGCTCACTATTTCGTTCCTCTTGATCTAATTAAAATGCGAGCTCTAACCTCTCTTCTGCCGGGGAGTAGCTAGAAACGTTTCTTCCTATTATTTTGTGTGTAAAGTCACTGTGAATTATATTTAAGGCTTAATAAGGGAGACTTGTCAAATGGGGTGAGCGGCGGGGAAGGAAGGGAAGGGGAGGGGAGCTCTCGAATTGGTTTGCATGAGTCATTTGGAATTAGGGATGGTAACCTAATCAAATTCATACCCAATGTGAGAGATTTTAGCTACGTTTAGAATCAGATCGAAAGTTGGATAACCTTATAAAACCGTTGGAACCATTGATAGAACCGTTCACAGTGGCGGACCCAGAATTGTCAGAGAGGTGTGTCACCGATAAAAATTAAAAATTAAATAAAAAATTAATTAAAAATTATTAGAAATTAATTTATAAAGTTCACAATGTCATGTTTACAACGAATCAAAATGACTTTTCATCTACTTAAGTTTCTCTAAAATACATTCATCACTTATGCTGCAAAGCAAATTTTTTAAAAATTATGCTGTTAGTCAATAGTGGACAACATAAAGTCGACAACAAGGTTGGAATAAGAAGAGGAAGCATATATACAATTAATAATTATGGTTTGATGGTCTTAGTTTATGTTAAAATATTTCCAATTTTTTTTATTTGTTAAAATAGTGAACCAGCGGACCAGTTAAATCGTGGTGGTTCATCAGAGTTTACGTTGAACCGTGAAAAATTGTTTGTCCTATCAATAACAGTCTAAATAATGAACCGCACCGTTGTCGTAATTGTTTTGGCGGTTCTACTGACCCGATCATTGATCCAATTCGGTTCTTATAACAATGGATTTTAGGTTGGGTTTGGCTTTAATCTACTTTCAAATTTGGCGTGTTGAGTTGGGTTTGGATTTTGTCAAAATCCAGCCAATTTTCTACCCGACCCGTACTCATAAAGAAAAACGACATCATTTTGTATCTAACCGGTGACTACGAATAATTTATGAATGCTATTAGTCTTTATGTAAATATCAACATAATAATATGGATCATTTATGGATGTTGGAAGTCTTTGTTGAGATATATTTGTAGAGAAAATTTTGATAACATATGATATGAGTGTACAAAGAAATAATGTGTGATTATGTTCGTAAACCCATGGGTATCCATACACCTGTGGTTTCACTTTTAAAACCCAATGGTATTTTACTGGAAATTTTTTAATGGTGTAGTCGCTCGGTTAAGTTTAAGTTTAGAGAAACCCGACCTTTTTTTTTACAACGAAATCAAGAACAAATGATTGTTCTCAATTATTTAGTCACTGTAAATGACTATTTTTTCTTCATAATTCTTTTGAGCATTCTCTATTTTTATTGTTAAATTGAATTCATTTTATTAATACTTCTAATTATTTTCAAACAATACTTTCAATATTTTTCATTTAAGTAGCCATTAGTATATAGAAGACCAGTTTCAACTATATGCGATGTGTGGTTGCAGAATAATTTATTTTTAGAAATAGTGTTATTTCTAAAAATATAATAAACAAGATTTATTATTATTTAGGGTTAATACCTTAGTTTGGCCCGAACTATATACATACTTTTTATTTTGGCCTGTGGTATTGAAAATTGCTACTATGGCCTGAACAATGTGGCAAACTTCCTCATTTGGCCTGGAGGCGGGTTTGACCGTCAAATTAGACGGTCAAACCTGTTGACCATTTGTCAATGTACACCTCACCTACCATGTCAGCTTTGAGGACATAAAAAATTTATTTTTTTCTGAATTTTGTTTTTTTCGATTAATAAAATCAATAAATCTTATTACAAAAAAAATCTGAAAAATTAAGTAAAAGAACCAAAAAAAAAAAAGGAGAAATACCCCAAATTATCCTAGCCTCCCACTTCCCTTATCCTCCCGCATTGCCTTTATCGGGAAATAATTCCCTCCCCCTTTCAGACTCATCATCTTCCCCGACTCCTCCTTCTCCCTTCCCCTTCGATCCACCACCTCCGTCTTCGTCGTCGCACAAGTCCTCGATAGCCGGGACCAGCCACCGCCGCCGTCCTCCGCCCTGCCCGCTCATCGTCCACTGCATCCACCACTCCTACAACTCCATCAACTTCCCCACCGGCGTCGTCTCCAACAGATCTGACTGGCAGAGCTCCTGTGCTATCCTCTCCAGCAGAGTCGTTGGACAGGAGCAGCCTCCTGAAAGTAGATATGGAGGAGAAAATGGACTTGCTGCTGCTCATTCCATCGCTTCCGTCAACGGTCACAAGACTATTGACCTGGATTTGATCCCAATAGATAAGGCAACTCTGGATTTGGTCTAAATGTGAGGCGATTCCGTGTGACCAGTTTGAGGTCGCTTTCCAGGCAGTGGAGCTTTGGATCGCGGATCGAGCCGTTCTGCCGGTGGAGAACTCGTTGGGCGGATCGATTCACAGGAACTACGACTTGCTCCTCCGCCATCGCCTTCATATTGTTGGGGAGATCCAGCTGCCGGTCCACCACTGCCAGGGGTGCGGAAGGAGTACATCACGCGCGTGATCTCGCACCCGCAGTCGCTAGCCTAGTGCGAGCACACGCTCACGAAGCTGGGGCTGCAGGCGGCGCGTGAGGCGGTGGACGACACAGCTGGGGCGGCGGAGTACATCGCGGCGAACAATTTTAGATTTTTTTTTTGTAATAAGATTTATTGATTTTATTAATCAAAAGGAAACAAAATTCAGAAAAAATTAATTTTTTCGTCCTCAAAGCTGACGTGGCAGGTGAGGTGTACATTGACTAACGGTCAACAGCCTCCAGGCCAAATGAGGAAGTTTGCTACATAGTTCAGGCCATAATAGCAATTTTCAATACCACAGGCCAAATTAGAAAATATGTGTATAGTGCGGGCCAAACTAAGGCTTAACCCTCTTATTTAAAATGAGAAATAGTGTTATTTTCTACACAAATAATATATATTATTGGTTGCAAATAATTTACTTACGTGGTTGATTTTATTAGGATAGCAAACAAGATTACGAGACATATTAAATATAAGAGTTAATAACTTATTTTGGCCCGAACTATGACTATATAATCAACTTTGGCACGTGGTCAACACCATTGACCGTTAGTCAACATGCCATGTCATTGGCTAGTCAATCTAAAAATCATTAAAATTTTGAAATTCAAATTATTGTTATAATTATTATTATTTATCATTTTGAAATTAACCAAAAATTAAAATTTAAAAAATTTAATTTTTTTTTATGTTTTACTTTTTGGGACATTTGAAAATGGTAAATTTAAAAAAATAATAGTTATTCTACATTTTATTTTTAGGTAAGGTTCCTAGTACCTTGTCCACAATTTCCCCCAGTTATATCTTCACCACTGTTTCTCAAAGTATTGGCCATTACCATAACCCTACCATAGTAATAAGACACAGATTATCCTTTCTTCATTTGAGGTAGTTCAAAGTTTCTTTCAAGTACTTTGAACTCAGCCTATGAACTCTAGCTCTCCCTTGAAAATTCTCCTTCATGGATTCCCACAGTTCTCTTGCTGTTCCTTGCTTGGCAATTATTTTCAGAATTTTCTTGCAATGAAAGTAAACAAATAGTTTTTAGCTTTCAAATCTTTCAACGTTAGCTCCTCCGAACTCTTGAGCTGAGCTATAGAACGCTCCTCTCCTTAAAAACGTAGTTTGAATGTAGGACTTATCACAGTCCATTATTCCTTTGACTTTAAGCACATGAGTGAATTTAGTTTTCGAGATTTAAATGAATGGTTGCCAATCAAGCATTTTTGATAGATTGGTAGAGGTTGATTGTTTTACAAATATTGGTGGACCGAAATTTTATAGAGCACTTATGTAGTAAAAATGTGTTACCTCGTACTATCTGTGAATTGAATAAATGGAGACAAATGAATAAAATCAAACTCAAGCATAATTTCATCCATCTCAGCTGTCCCATTAACTATCCTCGGAGGAGGGGAAGAAACTTTGAATATATTTCATATTTGGATTCAAGTCAAATGAGACCGCAGAAGTAACTAAATATTCTACATGATTACATTTCCAGAATTTATTAAGTAGATATAGTAAATTATCTCGTCAACTTTCTTTCTTTCTTTCTTTCATTTTTTTTTTTTTGGTCTGACTCGTCAACTTTCTTTACTACTCCTTAATAATATTTGTTGTTTTGGACTTTTTCTTTTCCACGCCTTCTAGATGTGCCTCCAACTTACCTTCCTTACCCCCTTCACGACTGCCTCTTTCTCTCCTCAAGAAACAAAAACAGCCAAATTTTTTAAAAAAACCCATTGAATCAAATCAACAAAATTGGACGCGTTTATTTATTTATTATTATCATTCCAATAAGGTAACCCTCTCCGTTCCCAAAAAAAACCATACTATAATCATTTCCCAAATCAAAAACTAATTATTTTCCCAAGTTAATTCACTTACCAGCAAAATATATATACCAGGAGGAAAGAAACTTCAATTCCTTTCCCTCTCACCCTCCGAAAAAAAGAAATGCTTCTTCTCCTTCGCTCCACCACCAACCCTCATCGGTCTCCTTAATCTCCTTTTTATTTCCACTAATCTCCCGCCGGAAATGCTTGCTTGGGAGCATGCCCTTCTCCTAATCTCATCTCTCCTCTTAACCTCCATCCTAATCATGTTCATCTGCCGCTACTACTGCTTCAAAAGACCGACCCGAACCGACTCCATCCTCGACCCGGCCCCCCGCAGCCCGACCCTGCAGGCCGGCATCGCCAAGCTCCACCACCGGGTCGCCGACGCCGCCGACCCAATCCTCCACCCGCCCGTCGAGTTTCTCGACAGCAAGCGGAGGGGAAATTACTACGTCTTCAAGCGCGGGCCTTCCGCCCGGCCGCTGTTCAATTGGGCGGATCACCCTTCCTTGATAACCGACGCCGTCGAGAACGGATGGTCGCGATTCGGCTTCGTCTCCCCGCCGCCGTCGCTGCCGGTTTCCGGGTCCGTCAGGAACTCTATGCTCCTCGGCCTCTGCGCCGCCGCGGGGGATTATAATCCGGCCCCGCCGGAGATAAGCTGGGAGGTGAGCCAGGCGTCGTCGGATTTCATGCAGAAGATTCGCCTGAACCCCGGCGCGAAGCGGGTCGCCGTCAGCAACCCGTCGACGTCGGCGGCTTCAGTGATCAGAACGGCTCTGCCGTTACCGGGCCCGCCGCTAGGGAGCAACGTCAATTCGGCGTTTCCGCAGGAGGCCTACTTCGAGATCGTGATTCTGTACTCCCGCGGCGGCGGCGGCGGGGAGGATCAGAATCAGAATCAGAAGAGCAGGTCGTCTTCGGCCGGCGGCGGGAAGGGAAATCGTGTTGGGGAAGGGGAGAAGATTAAGCTGATTCAGGAAATTCCGAATCCGAATTCCAACTCGGCGGCTCTGCTCCACCACGTCAGCAGCAGCCACAGGATTAACAGGATCGAGGAACTGATGAGGGTTTCCGGTGGTAATAAGGATGAGAACAAGGGCGACGCCGTCACGGTGGCGGTGGGGCTCTCTGTTGGCAGCGGATTCCCTCCTTTCAAACTCCCCGGTAGTTACCACGGCTCCATCGGCTTCAATTCCAATGGCTCTGTTTATCTTGATGGTAATTTTCTAACCTCCTTTTCCTGTAACATATTCAATCAAAATTTCGATAATTTAGCATCAAAATTTGGCTTTCTAGACCTGAGGGATTTGCACAATCTTATGAGAATTTTTTTTCCCCATAAATGGACATGGGAGGATAGTTTGAATTTGGATATTATGTCGAGGCATTCCGTACTTGTTGACATCGTTAAATTAGAGTGATTAATCTACAATGATCATAAAAAGCGTATAATGATTGCTAACATTGTCAAATCAACTTTCCATATGTTTTTACCATCAAAAACTTTCCATATGTTTTCGACCATTACATTGATGTGAATACTAACTTAGAATAGAAGTGTGATCCAACGAAGTAAGTGTGCCCTAAAACACTGAAGCATTATAATAGCACAGTTGAGATAGCATTAGGTACAGAGTAATGGAGTTGATGAAGCGAATAAACTAACTTAATGAATCGGGTTCAATGAAACCAGATAGCTAAATTGTTATTATTATCTAAAAACCTTAAATTATTGAGAGAAGTTGTTCAATCAATCAACAAACACTGAAATCGACCCTTCTTCCTCTGTTTTTAAATTTGTGGGTTTCTCTCTCAGGTCTGAAGCTAGTGTTCGAAACAGAGTCATCATCGGACTGGGCAAGACCCGAGAGAGTGATCGGGTGCGGGTACGACCCGAGGCAGAAGAAGGTGTTCTTCACGGTGGACGGAGAGTTGGTCCACATAATCCACTGCAAGGCGGACGAGTTCGGGTCGCCGCTGTACCCGACAATCGCTGCCAACAGCGACACGGTGGTCGTGGTGAACTTCGGGCAGAGCGCGTTCAGCTACGCGCCGGCGAACGGGCAGAGGACGCCGAACCCGTGCTTCGTCGGGCCGCAGGTGAGGTCCCCGGCTTTGGGGTATGAGGACAGCAAGGAGCTGTTTTCAATGGGGAGGATTGATTCGCAGTGGCTCAACAGAAGTGGGTCTCGGTATGCGTACGGTAATGGCGGTGGAGGTAAGAATGAGGCGGCGGCGGCGGCGGCGGCGGGGCAGGAGTCGAATGAGGAGGAATCTGAGGCGGATTTGTTCGAGATTGTGTTGGAGAGCAGCAGTGGGCGGTCTCCTAACTCCGTGTTGTAGTTGTTTGAGTACATAGGGGTGGTGGGTTTTGGTTGATTGAATTCTTCTGGTTGTGGGGATCGAGATCGAAATTAATTTTGTACAGATTAATAGGAAATTTGTTCAGAAGTGGAATTACCCCGGTGAAATATTGATCTACTAGGAAAAAGATTAAATATTCATGTATTCGAACTTTAAGACATTTTGAATTTTGATTGAAAATTCACTATATTTTATAGTACTAACCGTTCAGCCACAAAATATCAGTATCGAAGACTATATCAGTAGGCGGTATTTAACGGTACTAACAATTGAACTATGGTTAAACCACGGTTTCTCCATAGAATATCATATTGTCGACTTTTCTGGTACGGTCTCCAGTACGGTTTCATCGACGATGTTATTTTATTCTTGAGAGTAAGGTAGTTAAACACCTATCGGGCCCCCTATTGGACCCAGTCCGACCTAAGTCGGGTTTCAAAACGGTCTCCAGAATGCCCCATGGTCTTACCCTCAGAGAGGGAGAAGAAGAGAGAGGAAAGGGAGGAGGGGGGAAGAAGGAAAGACGACGGTGGGTGAGTCATGGAGGTTAGATAGGTTTTATTTTGTGTGAAATAAGTTTTTAATAGATACATGTAAGATAAATTTTATTTCAATCGTTAATTTTTAATTACAACCTTATTTGTATATAGATTCAGAAACGTATAAAACGACTCAAATTGGTCAAACCCTAATCAGACGAATAAACCTCAAACCTTTTGTTTGATCTGCTCAATAACCTAACTCGGTTTGACAATCTAGCTTCAGAGTGTTTTTGGTGGACATGAGAGTTCTTTATTGAAGTTTTCTTAGAGGTGGAACCTTGGGAGTTGGGAGGATTGTTTAGCAATTTAGGGATAACTTAAAACTCAATTATGGAGTGGTTGACATTAATTTTATTATTGAAGAAGAGGTCTTAATCAAGAGTTGTATTGATTATTATTATTGTTGTTATAATAGAGTTGTATTAAGTTAAATTCTTAAGTCAATGGATAAATGGGGATAAAGTTGGGGAAATCAGCTTCTATTTTTTTTTACCTTTTCTTATTTTCACATATTTATTTTCCAGCCTTGCTCTCAAATTTCAATGTGTGGAGCAAGAAGTCACACTGAAAGAAAAGAGAAAGCCAGGGCAACAAAAGGGTGATGGAAGGGGGAAAAGAACAAAGGAAAAGAGGATCCTATAAAAAAAGGGTTAATATTTTCGTATGGCCTGAACCTTGACCAAAATAAACATCCTGGCCAATCTTTTCGATCTATAACATCCTGGCCCGAACTATACACTAAAATAAACAAGTTTAAATCTATATACAAATAAGGTTGTAATTAAAAATTAACGATTGAAATAAATCTATATACAAATAAACATCTTTGGCCAAATCCGATGTTTGACGGTTAACTTGGACGGTCAGTCAACGCGCCACGTCACTGCCAAGTCAGCAAGTTTAAATTTAAAAAAAAATCCACCTATTCCATTTTATTTCCTTACTCATTTTGAAGAAGAAAAAAAAAACTTCCACAAAATGCAGGACCCCTGCCCTAACCCCCAACCCCCATTCTTCCTCTTCTTCGCTCGTCTCCCATCCTCCGTCTCTTCCTCCATCGCGACGGCCACCACCAATATTGTAAAAAAGGAAAGAATAGCCAAGTGCCTCCACCGTCGCCGCGGCCTCCGCCTCCGCCGACGTCGCTGTCGAAGGTTTGCAGAAAGAAAGAGACATGTCGAGGAGATCTGTGAAAAACGCCGACGAAGGTTCCACTTCTTCCCGTTCGACGAACACAGGCACCATTCGTTGTAAAGTGCACAAAGCCCCTTGTTTGATCAATACATCTCGCACTAGCTTAAATCCTGGAAGAATGTTCTTCTCGTGTCCATATTGGAAGGTAGGTTGAAATCCAAGTTTACATCTTTGTTTTTGACCAATTGGATCTCGATTCACCTCTTCCATTTCTGTAGGATGACAAAAAGAGTTGTCATTTTTTCCGATGGGTTGATGACGAGCCGGATAGTGACTCAAGGGTTGATGGATTGATTGAAGAGAATCATGAACTTAAATTGAAGCTTGGTGATATGGAAGCTCTAGAAGGCCGTGTTCGTAAAGCAGAAGAGAAGGCCAGGAAACGGAAAGAAGAAAAGGCTGCGATTTTAGAGGACTTGGCAAAGCTTGCCGAACTGAAATTCTGCTATTTGTCTCGAACTGCGAAAGATGAGACATACAGTTTATGGCCTTCAAAATAGGATGAATTTATGTTGTTTTTGTGTGCTCTTCGTAGTCGTTGTTGTAATCGTGTGTGGACCACTTCGTATGTAATGGAGATTTCATGTTGAAGAAGAATGGTGTTTGTAGTGGAGATTGAATAAAGCGTTTCGTTTTAAGCAAGTTAGTACATCAACCAAACTTGGAATCACCATCATTTTAACATGTCCTAGCATGTACAAAATAAGGCAGAGAGTTAGTACATCAACCAAACTTGCAATCACCATCATTTTAACATGTCCTAGCATGTACAAAATAAGGCAGAATCGTTGGTGTGCCATAAGTTTGGACTCTGAGTACCTAGCAAAAGAGTGACTCGAAGCTTTCTACATGTCCTAGCATGTACAAAATAGGTTCCTACCTTTGTGCACACACAACTTCCTTCCTCGTTTCACTGCTCCTAACCCATCTAATATCAGCTCCCATATTAATTGCATTCTTCATAACAGCAGTTTTAAATTGATTACCATCTAAAAACTGCATATGTGTTTTGAACTTCAAAGTGACATGATCACACTTGGGATCATAACACAAGCTCTTGTCGAAGCTTGTAGCACCATCATCTTCAGCAATGTTCCCTCTAACATGGGAAGAATCCTCAGAGGCCCTATACTCCGTATCAACTGATCCTTCGGCATTGATCTCCTCCTCCACGTTCACTTGTTCTGCACCGCTTTCAATACCCTCATTAATCTCCAAACTCTCATCAAGCTCCACAGTTTCAGCTTCAGCTCCACCCTCAATACTAGCACTATCCGAAGCAAAGTCAGCATGATGGTTGATATCCCACGCAAACAATTGATTCACTGAACTACCTTCACCATCAAGATCTGCTATAAATCTTCTATTCCTTCTCCTAGCATCAGCTCTAATCTCATGGTATTCCTCGTCGGATGTCTGAGCATCATCGTCTAGCCGAACAAACTCAGGTGCAGCTGAATTGTCTCCAGATGCATCTTCCCCTTCAGGAAAATGGCCATAATTGTCTCCCATATAACCAATGCAGTCAAAATCTAGATTTTAAGTAAAATCGAAAACTGAGGTAGAATCGAAATCGTAGATTAAAATCGTAAAATCGTAAGATTTTAAGGTTCATATTAAAATAAATACTTAAAACACTAGATAGTAATAAAAATGCATATCTTGAATAACAATCAACCACATAAAGCATAGTTACTTCCCAAGATAAGTTTGTTTGCTAAAAAAACTCAACTAATCCATATATTTTTCTTGTACATAATAGAAACACACAAATAAGAAACCTGAAACATTATAGATATCACTGTTAATTAATTGTTAAGAGTAGAAAATCACATAAGATCGTTAGGATCAACATTAACATCACTTACACATCATCGTCATCATCCTCAACCTCACCCTCACTCTCATCGTTTTTATTTGTTTAAGGACTAATATCATTACTCTTATGATCACTTGAAGTACTCTCACCATTAACCATATTTCCTTGATTACCATCATCTGGAAAAGATAACTCATTGATTGATTCATTCCCTTCTTAATTGATAAAAGGTCGGGTTAGTGGTGCTGAAGGATTGGGAGATGACAAAAGCTTGCAATGTAATGGAGATTTGGATTATTGTGAGGGTGGTGGGAACAAACTACAAGCTAATTGGGAGGGTGGAAGATATCGTTGATGGAAGGAGTTGGGCGCCGACATGCGAAAGAGGAAGATACAAGGAAGAGAATGAAAATAAATTGAGGGTTAACTATCAGGTTGGGGTTGTGTTGTTCATTATGTTGGGTTGGGGAAAGTAAATTTGACTCGGTTCATGGGCATAACCCAACTTGACCAGCCTAATTTTGATCCAATTGATATGAACCTTGAAATCGTACAAAATCGTAGAAATCGTAGATTTTATGGATTTTAGAGTTTTAAATCGGGATTTTATGGGATTTTAAGGTTCAAAGATTTTACAGTAAAATCAGGATCGGAACCCATAGGTAAGATCGTAAAATCGTAAGATTTTAAGATTAAAATCGGGATTTTGACTACATTGCATATAACCCAACTCTCCGAGATCCCTTGTTGCCTCAAAGTACACCTTTATATCTCCAGTTCCAACCAAAGGCAGCAACCCAGTTAAAACCTCCACATCCGACACAATTTCATGCAATCCAGTTGCCATACTTTCCCCAGGTGTCAAGTACCATAGCCTCTCGACGGAAATATACTCCAAATCTTCAAACAAAGTCTTCGTCAATTCGAAGTAGGACAAGACATCACGATTCACATTGACGACATCGACAACCCCCCAACGTACTGTGGAACACCCCCCGACATATCCATAGCGCCTCCATGATGCAGAATAAGCTCAACCATGTCGTCCATTCTGCCCAAGACAAAAAAAATTGATACGAGATTACTTTAATCTCTATTTCCATTACTTTAATCTCAAATTCCATTATTTTAATCTCAATTTCCAGCTCTTAACCCGAGAAATGCTGGTCGCGAGCATTAGTTTACTAGAAAGCCCTAATCCTTGTATGTATCGAGGATTAAAAAGAGAATGGAAATGGAGAGAAGAAAGGGATTGATTGCTTACGTTGCTGGTGGGGATGAATTTATGTTGGTTGTGGTCCCTTTGGAATGTGGACCCCTCGTCGTCCTTTTTCACCAAGTCGTTATCGATGCACACAGAGAAGCATAAATCGCGAGGGAGCAGAAATCGCGAGGGAGGAGGGGGAAAATCTTCGCGAGGTAGAAGGGAGAAGGGTGGTAATCGATGACGGCGGCGGCGGCGGCGGGCTCAAAAGAACGCCCGCCGCTGCATTTTAGTCGGTCAGGTGAGGAGGTTCAACGATGAAGGAAGGAGAAGGTGAGAAGTGAGAACGGCGGGTGAATTCTGTGGATGGGGATGAAGCGATATGGATAAGGTAGGGTTAGGGCAGGGGCAGAGGTCCTGCGTTTTGTGGAAGTTTTTTTTTCTTCTTCAAAATGAGTAAGGAAATAAAATGGAATAGGTGGAATTTTTTTTTTAATTCAAACTTGCTGACTTGGCAGTGACGTGGCGCGTTGACTGTTAGTCAACGCGTTTGACCGTCCAAGTTAACGGTCAAACATCGGGTTTGGCCAAATTGTTTATTTTGGTGTATAGTTCGGGCCAGGATGTTATAGATCGAAAAGATTGGCCAGGATGTTTATTTTGGTCAAAGTCCAGGCCATACGAAAATATTAACCCAAAAAAAAAACAATGGAAAAGAGGTGGGGAAAACGAATAATCTTTGCTTGGCGGTGAATTTTTGTAGAAATGATAATTTAATTATATCACTTTATTGAGTTGTTGAGACAATGTTAATTGTGGATCTTCAAGTAACTTCTTACACTCTCATTTCAAAAGAAGCTAATCACGAGTTTGAAATTTGCATAGACCCATAATTTTTCATGTTTAAATGAAACTGTTAATATTTGGGGGAGGGGGTTTCGTGATTCAAACACGTGATTACTTGACTGAACCAACTCTGATTTATACTACTTTCTTAAATACAAAAACTAGTATACATAATCGATACGGATGTCAGAGTTAACTATATTAAATTGAAGAATGAGCAACATATATACACTTTTTCCACCTTGATAATGGCACAATCTATAGTGAAAGATATAGATATTGAATTTGTCAAAATCATATATCCCTTTATGTATTCTCCTCTCCTCCATTGCTTTCTAATCGAAAATTATATCCTTAGTGAGAAAAAGGGGGGAAAAAAAATCAAATGTTGGACTTTGTAAAAGCATAAAAGAAGATAGAGGTGTTTGATAAAGTATAATGAGATGAACTGAGGGAGGGAGGGAGTCAAAGTCATGAGACATGAATCCCACGAAAGAAAGAAAGAAAGAAAGACTAATGGTTGTGTTGTATATATATATATATATATATCATGTAGGAATGATGAAAGAACGGCGCCGGCATTGTTTTCCTGAAAGGAATGGCAACTCGCACCCCTCCATTTTTGTTCTCTTCTCTTTTGTGTCAATTCCGCTTCGTTCTCCAACCCCGCTCATCTCACCTTTAAGAAGAAGAAGAACCAAACCTGATTTCTTGATATGGTCACAGAATATTTTACAGGACAGAAAGTGCAGTGCAGATTGCACTTATTGGATTGTTTCGAAGGGGCTCTATATTTGGGCGTTTGGGCTTATCATCTGTGCCTCGTGTTGGGTTTTGACGGCGTAATAGGGACTGGAGTGGAAGAGCATCAAATGAGTTTTGGACCATGCTTCCACTTCCACTTCCACTTGAATCTTTCCTCAACAGACAACAACCAAACTACAAGTTTGGGACAGATAGATGCGCCAGAGCCCAAACGTGAAAGCAGGGGCGGAGCTAGCATTTAGTGCTCGGGGGGCCGGATTTCATAATACATTACTGCAAAAGACTAAAAAAATACTAATAATTAAAATATTTAGGTTTAAAAATCTATTTTTTATACTAATTTTGTTTTATTATAACCATATAAAATATTTTTCACATTATATTTACTATAAATTAGAATAAGAAAAAATAATGTATTTCAAGAAGCAAAAGCGGTAATTAATTGATGTAAACTACAATTTAAAAAGGGAAATAAAAATTAAAAAGTTAATGACTAAAGTATCTAATGCTCGCTTAGGTAAACTAAAAGTAAGGAGAAGTTGTAGTTTAGGTAAACTAAAAGTAATCAACCTAAGGGAAAGCTATAAACTGCTTCCCTTTGGAATCAAACCTGAGACCTTTGGGTTATAAACAATTCATCTTCCGTTGGGCTACAAGAAATTTTATGTCTTAAGTTTGCACGGTTTATATTTTATATATAAATTATAGTTTGTACACACGATCCCGACTTATTTATACGTGACTTTCGAGTTTCTCGGGGGGGCCGGCCCCCCCCCCCCCCCCCCCCCCCCCCCCCCCCCCCACCCGAGACATGCTGTAGCTCCGCCCCTGCGTGAAAGTCCGGGGCTGCAAAAGAGAACAAGCAC